AAACATTCAATATTGAGGTCATAAATTCAGTATCGTGTTTGAGCAGCAAGACAAAGACAAAAAACAACAACAATAATCCTCCTTATCCTCGACCTCATCCTAAATTATTAAGTTGATATAAATAGTTTTTTCTAGTAATAAACTTGAATATTAAGAATTTGTTTATTGGGTTTGCTAAAATATCGGAATTAAATATACAATTTTTGAATTCCTCGAATTAAATAAAATCGACAATTAAAGGTTATTTATTATTCGATAAATTGATATAAATACTTCAAATGTTTAATTATTTTTATTATTACTTTTATAGATTTATTAATTGAATTCTTTGAATTGAATAAATTTCGTCTAAATCGAAACTTTAAGGTTAATATACATTAGTGCTTCGTACTCTATATATATTAGTTTATTTCATTAAAAATTTCATCTAATTTCGTCTGACTATATTTTTCCACCTGTTCAAAAATTTTTGTTGGTATTTCATGGCTTTTGGTTCTATTTGACATCATAGTTATCATAATATTGCAGGGAGGTAATAATCATTCTGGAATTTTTTTTATAATATCAGATGGGAATTCTGCATCTGGATCTTTTATAACTTTCTGAAACATTTTTCTAATTTGATAATGTGTACAATATTCAAGATTCAAATGAACATCCATGTGACCAGGTCAGATACTAAAATAAAAATAAAATAAGTTTTCTGAAAATTGGAAAAAATAACTCAAAAATATCTTGGTATAAATTTTAGAATTGAAGTTATAAATAGTTTATATGGCTCACCCTAGGTTTTTTTAATAACCTATAAATTCAAAAGAATACTAACCATGCAGGGTCAAGTTGTTCGATGTGATTCGCTATCATAATTATTATAGTTCCTTCTGATAACATTTGCCAATTCAAACATTCAAGAAAATTAGATAAACTAATAAATGACAATAAGTCCTTAAATTTTGATAAATTATCTTTTTCTTTTATTTCATCTTCAGAAATAAAGCTACAATAATTTGGGTGACCACCTCTTTTATAAAGGACATTTGATTGTGTATCAACATCTTCAAGAACAATTATTTGATTTGGTAGAACAGAACTAAATGCTGCACTCATTTCATTATCATTTTTAAAATCTTTGAGATTAATATGATATATATCTCGAGATAAATAAGATGATATAGCATTTGTCAAACTAGTTTTTCCAGTTTCTGGTTTTCCATAAAAAAGAAAACCGCGTTAGTAAGGCAAGCCAATTCTTTTATAAAATTCTTTATCATTAATAAAAAAATCTAATTATTTTTTCAACAATATTTCTTGAGGTTCATCTAAAACAACACTTTCCAAACCATTCAAGTCTGATAAATATTGAACTCTGTGCCAATATTCTTTATTATGTTTATATCTTGCACGTTTGTGATTTTTCTCTTTTTCTTTAAAATAAGAACTCATAATCTCACTAATAAATTCAGAAATTGCATTAATGTCAATTTTGGCATTTGAATGTGAGTCATTAGTTATTGATAAAAAAATAGATGACATTTGATCTGGCACTTTGTAATATGGATGAGGTCGAGGATAAGGAGGATTATTGTTGTTGTTTTTGTCTTTGTCTTGCTGCTCAAACACGATACTGAATTTATGACCTCAATATTGAATGTTTACTTGCTGTTTCTTTTCAGGTAAGATATTAAAATCTGGTACTTCATCTGATTCATACTTTTTACTATTGGTAGGTTGAACTATAAATAAACTTTTATCTAATTCTTTTATTTGTTGGGAGATTATCTATAATAAGGCTTCATATAACAGATTTTTTTTTTTGAGTATCATAAATACCTAAAAATTTTATATTTTTTATATAAGGTTAAAAATGTTAAATTTTTTAGTGTGTTTTCTCAAACAACGCTCGCTTAATTTAAAATAATGAATGGCCTGAATTATATATATTTGAACATAAATTTTGGGATACCTGAAAAATTTCTTGTATCCTGGAATCTTTTCTATTTAGTCCAGTAAATTACTTAACTCTTCATAAACTATATCGCTTTCTCCAGACTAATAGCTTGAAAATAGCAATAAAAATTTCCAGGAAACAAGAAAAGTATTTGTAACTTAATTCTGCAATGAAGTAAGCCTACTTTGCAATTGCGGGAAGTCATTGCCCCACCAAATTTTTAATTATAGTCCAGAGTGTTATTTCGAGATGACACCTACCTTTAGCATAATATTCAATTTGCACTGTTAATGAATTTTTAATCTGAAATATCTGCAACAACGAGCAACATGCACAGATCAAAGTAGTAATTAGAGTAGCAAATAAGGTAGTAGTAAACATATCTACAGTGATAATCCTTGAAAAATATGGCTCGAGTTTTGAGGGGAGCCGTGCCAGTAAAACTGCTTGTAATTGTTCACGAGAGAACAATTTAATAAAAGGAAAAAAATCTCTTTGATGTCACCCATTTGAGTGATTCCAGGGAAAAAAAGGAATTTCTATGAAATTTATATTATAAGCTCAGAGTTCAGGTTTCTATGT